GCCAACAATGAACCCACTAGCTATTTACACCCATGGTGTAAATAGCTAATGTGGCTATTTATAGCCTGGGTGTATATTCCTGGGCCTGTTAGCGTTGTCAAATTATGTTGTTAATGAAAACAGGTCCATTCAGATACTCTGCTAAAGTTTATGGACAAAGTTTGCATTCAGCAGCTTTAAACATCCTAAAAAACTTAAAATAAAAAGTCAACTAAGTCTATAAATAACAAGCCAGCATGGACTCACAGGCCACGTAGCCACACTCAGCAGTCAGACAGGAGTCAGGTTAATTTCCAGGGCTGGTACCTGCAGTTATTCCACAGGCTAGTTAACAACATGTCGGGCAGGAAATCCGAAGTGTGGGATCATTTTGAGAAGGTGAAGGACGAACCCAACGTGATATGTAAACTCATCTTCATTGGTCGACTACAAACATGACGTATCATCTGAAACATGGAAGTAGCTACATGCCCATTAGCCCACAGCGTCATTAACAGGCGGCTCGCTCAGTGTGTGACGTGCACTTGTAGATAAAATATAGGCCTATATTAATGAAGGTTCATTAGTATGGTTTTGTATTTCTTTGTAATGTAGCAGTGTTAACAATGTTACTGATACTATTCTTTCTCACACCTTCAACTCAAACCATCAAAATATATCATTTAATCATTACATTCATATCATAAACATGCAGGCGACTAGTCGACTAATGGCCCTAAATGAGGACTGTTGGTGGACTAAGAATAGTCTTGTGACGTGTTCAGCATATTTAATCTGTGTCACGTTGACTTAAAAAGTGTTCAGAAGCAGTGTTATAGGTCTGTAAACTCTTGGCTAAACCATTCATATCAGTGACAAGGTCAAGCTTTTAGTTCAGTATGACAGGAGTGTCAGTCTTTCAGGTGTGAAACCTGTGTAACAGCTTAAACTGCACAAAGAATGACATTTTTTTGATATTTTGTGTTGACATTTCCTGCAGTGTTCTTTTAGTTAAAATCAAGAATCTTATATTAGCCTCACGTCGATAAGTTACATTCTGGGCTCCAACCAACAGTTCTTGTCATTATCGATTAACCAGCAGATTATGTTCTAAATTATGATCTATAAAGTATCAGAAAGTAGTTAAAAAATATGCAGATAATATTCTCCAGGAGCCGGAGATAATGTCCTAAGATTGCTTGTTTGGATTGTTGATTGCTTGATGAAGTGAGTTTGAAAAACTCAACAGCAGTGACTCTTTCCAGAAATCATGACCCAGTTACTCAAGATAATCCACAGACCTTGTTGTGAAGGGTTTCATGTAGGAACTATTTTCTTTCTACCGAACTACACCCTCCAAATGTGTCACTGCTCAGAAGAAAGCGTGCATTTACTGCTAGCTCACCTAGCATCACTGAGCTAGCTAACGTTACAGCTCAGCTGAGGAGGACTCCATTAAATATCCGCTGCTGTCACAAGCACGTGTCTCTTATCCGTGAGTAGATGTACTCTTCCTTCTGCGTGGTGATACAGTTGGCAGGTGCAGTTTGATAGAAAGAAAATAGTTCTCTCATGAAACTGCTCACAACAAGGTCTGTGGATTATCTTGAGTAACTGGCTCATGATTTCTGTGAAGAGACATTGCTGTTGAAATGTATTGATTTGAGGGTGAACTGTCACTTTAAAAATGTTTCTGATTGACTAATTGTTTCAGCTCTACTTTCAGTACTCTCGGTAACGTGGCTTGAGTGTCAAAGTTTTTATTCCTCTCCCTGCAGCTGAAGATCCTCGTTGAGGAGGACTCGTTTAAAGTGGCGGTGGACGGCACCCACCTGATGGAGTACGAGCACAGAGTCGGCGGGCTGGAGGAAGTGACCCTGCTGCGAGTGACTGGTGACATCGTCCTCCACAGTGCAGCGCCGAGCATGATCTGAGTCTCAGAGCTACTAAAGCACATGCTGTAGAGTCGACCTGGGTCACACTTTACCACCGTATTTGAATCCCTTTCAAATACCATGATGGAGTTTTTGAGGCACAATAGTCAGCGAGGTGCAATCTTTACCCACCTGGCACATTTATTACAGAGCAGATGGCAGATTAACCCAGGTTTGCACACTATAATCCTTTCTGGTTTTTTTTTCTGGATGATATCTCTTTCTTTTATGCCACTCACAATCCAGTATATTTTATGACATAACAGTATCAAAGTAGTGAATGAGACAAACAGGCGTTTTATGGAAGTAATAATTTATACCTGATGAAAAGATTGTAGGCCAAGTGGAACATATTTCCATTAGTATGCTGTATTTTGTTTACAGTACGTGTATGTTTATTATTTCATCCTTATATCAAGATCTTGATAAGCCTTTGTAGTGCATGAGAGTGTGATGCTGAAATCAACTTCCCCTTCTTATTCAGTGCTGTCCGACCCCCCCGCCCTCAGGACTCACTGGCCTGTTAACATACAGTCGGCTAATGATGAGGTTTGTTAAACGTAATGATACACAGACAGCATTAATCCTCCTGAGCTCTCAGACTGGAAGGTTGCGATACAAAGTATTGATTTCATGTTGAAGTCAAATCAAGTGCTAAAAAAAAAGTGAGGCTCACATTAAAATGTTGGTAAAGGGGCGAGACGGGGGATCTTATTTGTTGCCAAAGATACCAGTGGTACATTATTTTGAGATTATAGACTGATTATTACGTAAAGGGCAACAAACAAATGACTGATGAAACTGTTTGATTCAGAATGTTGTACTGTTTTCATGAGCTGCCTGCCTGTGCACATAATAAATACTAGTTTCCCTGTTCACATTCTTTATTTCACTCCAACATGGAGGAAGCCAATCCTTTCTTGGCAGTCTGAATGTTGGTTTCACATTGTGTTCCCCTGATCTATTACAGTGATAGAATGTGTGTCATCTATAGGGCTGGGTGATGTGGACAAAAACTTGTATCTTGTTATTTACAGGCTGACTGGTGATACACGATATATATCCCAGTATTTTCTGTGATATTGGCCATAGGTTTTCAGTTACAGGTTTCTGTGAAGTGCTGTAAAACACACATTAAACACATTAAACATGGCTTAATAGAGACAGTTTCAAACACAAGCACACAAATCAGCTTCGCTATAACTCGCAGCATTCACAGACAAACACTTGTCTTTATCTGGACACAAGTAGAATTTTGAATGTAAGACTTCATTATGGGAGTAATTTTAGAATAAAATGGTAAAATATTCAATTAAATTTTACAATGTATATTAAAAAACACTAAAGAAAGGAATAAAAACGAATTATATTTACAGGGAAGATAAACAGTTGTGTGTATACTGTATACAGAGTAAAAACCTATACACAGACAATGTACAATCAAATATTTAAAGCAGGATACAATAAAACAAAATGGCACTACTACAGAATAAAGTACATAAAAATAGCAATCAGGGAAGGAATAAAGCAGGAAACTAAATGATATTTACTGGGAATATATACAGTTTTGTATATATATTTATGTAAACCTATACAGGTACACAGAAAATATGTAGAGTTTGTGCAATAATTAATATGAACAATGTAAGTTACATTACAAATAGAAAACTTTGGTTTTTGGTTTTTAAGGATTGTTATTAGGTAAATAAAATCAAGTAAAATAATACAAATATGGAATAAGATAACCAAAAATAATGTAAGATAAAAAAAACATTAATGAAACTGATAAGACTTGTTGGAAATAAAATGCAGTGCTACCATTAGAAAAATGTACAGATGCAGTGCAGTGTTATAGTCCAGTGTGCAACACGAATAAGACACACGTTTTATTGCCAAGTAGGTTTACACAAACATGACACAGAAAAATGTATAATACAAAATATGAAAATATATAAGAAATGTGTTAAAAAAAAAAGTTTTAAAGTGGAAGAGCTGTACAGCTTTGTGCGGACGTGCAAACTATTGACCAGGGCATGTGCAAAAGTTCATGAGATAAGATAAAGCTTAACTTATCCTGAGCGAATTTGGTGCAGCAGCTGCAATACAAAGTTGGAGGAGTGCAGATACAAAGCATGCAATAACAAGGACTAAAATAACAAAATAAAAAGCAATGTAAAGCCAATACACAATACAATAAACAAGCTAACAGTAAGGTTCAAATATAGAATATAAAAACCAGCAGCAGTAAGCAGTAAGGTAGAAACTATAAACTTAAGTAAGATGCAAAATATTACAACTAACTCTCTCACACACACACACACAGAGCTTGCTTCACATGGTAAAGCGCAAATGATATGTGCATGTGGGGAGAGAGTCATCTCAAGACATGTAGAGCTGAGGATTTAACTAAGTGACGTAAGGTAGTTACTATGGACCACAGTGCACACTATCATGCACATATCGTCTTGTCACATGATCAGTGACTTGATTTTGGATTACATCAACATACATATTACCCAGTAATCATCATTACATAACTGTAGTTAACAAAAATATCAAAGAAATTGTTTATTTAATAGTTTATATATAGCCATAGAATATTTGATTTGAAGTTGATTTACAGTAATAGAATAAACATATATTTTTGTTTTAGATGCTATTGACTCTTTTACAAAAAAGAAAAAATAAACACAACGGAGATGGGCACTGTTTTTAATTAATGACAATTCTTCTTTGAACACAGGCATATTTACAAGCTGGCAATCACTCATAAGAGCCCATTCTCCACCCAACACATCATTGGAGGGCCCACTCCCTCTCTGGGCCCCCACCTCACAGGCCCTAGTGCAGCCACACTGTGTGCACTGTCTATATTTACGCCCCTGATTTAACAATAGTTTAGTTCATGTATAGAAAATACAGGAAAAGAAATTAAAAGTTAAAACATTGTGCAGGAAAGGTTAGAAGCCAAAAATGACTTGTAAAGAGTAAATGACATGATGCAGTGTCTCACTTTCCCTGATCCACCTCCCTGCTGTGTAATTCAAAGGTCGGCCTGCAGTCCCGCCTCTGTCCATCAGGGGGCAGCACAACCACAACCCACCGCCTGCAGTGCACCGAAGGAAGCAAATCGAAACTCCTCAATGAGTTCACCTTCAGATAAATAGTTTGTCCCCCTTTCTCTCAACTCTTATTTTAACCAACTGGTGTCCCGACAAAATGAATGGCTCTCTGCACTCCTCACCCGACGTGGTGGACATTAAGCTGAAGCGAGGACCCGCAGGTAAGAGCACCGGACAACTTGACGCACAGTTAGCATGTAGCCGTGACGCTGCTAGCTAGTTAGCTACGTAGCAGCAAAAATCAACGCTGTCAGGCTAGTGTGTGTATCCTGAAGCTAACGGCTAATTTGCGTACCAAAAATAACAAAACCTCACTCAACCATGTGTTATCATGTAGTACAAGTTTAGGGAATAGAGCTGTGGGGGCTGACTGAGCTCTTATGAGTTAGTTTCATTAAAAAATAATGATTTAATTATGAACTTTGACGCTGTTAAAATATTTGAAAGTAACGTTGCTGCTCGGCCTGTCAGATTGTAACAGGCTGTCTCTGTGTGGAGGAGCTGGACACTAAGGAAGGTTTATTTAGCTTCATTAGAGACTAATGTCAGATTTATACTTGTTATGTAACATTTAGTCAAGTGGTGTTTCTCTGAGCAGCAGCACAGAGCTGGATTGACTCCTCTTGTACTTTGATCCACTGATATACATGTTATGATTAAATCAACAACCTCTGCCCAGGTAAACAACTGTGGAGTTGTCTTTATTGGATTTCACTGCAATACATCTGTCTCATGACAGTGTCTGTGTTTTTTTGCAGGCTTGGGATTCAATATAGTTGGAGGCGTGGACCAGCAGTATGTGATGAATGACAGTGGCATATATGTGTCCAAAATTAAAGATGATGGAGCTGCAGCTGTGGACGGAAGACTCCAAGAGGGGGACAAGATCCTGGCGGTAATAAACTCAGACTTTTATCAAGGGTGGAGGAGCTTAGAGTGAACCACAACTACGTGAACAAAATTGTCACCACATGAACACGAATACCTTTTGAGCATGAACAAACAAAAATTGGATCAATATATAAACAGATATTTACATGTGTAGACAACTGGAGAGTAGTAGTGACACTGGGATGTGTCTCTGTTTGCACATTTACACAAATTCAGGTCCAAAGTTTGAGGCGTGCACTTTGCATTTTAGCCTGTTCTCAATAATCCTTCTTGGCTCTCAAAAGTAATTAAGCTCGTTCGAGATGAATTGCACCACGCCTTGAAAGTGGACGAGATCAGGTGGCTGCAGCAGGAGGTGGTGACAAAAAGCTGTGTTCAAGTCGGATAGTTTCCAGCAGCTTTCAGTCTGTACAGGAAGTCACAGAAACACTAACATCCTGTTAGATCTAATGCTGATTCTTTAAAATGTTATGAGACTTATAAATCAGTTTGTTTTCAGTCTTCAGTTTCAATTCAATTTAGCCTCTTAAAATGCTTTAGAAGCAATCACCTCAACTACACAGGCTAGATAAATTGTGTCTGACTATTAGGTAAATGTAATTAAAAAAAATACAAGACAACAGCTTTCATGAAAGATCAGTCAGATATAGTCAGGGCTTCACATCTGTACAGATGTTATTGTAAGAATCCTCACATATTACAGACCACAAGTCTCTGTGACACTAAATACTTAAAAAATAAAACAAGTCGACAACTGCAGCAACTGGATCTAAAAACTGCAGCTGCCTCAATCTGGCGAGATTACTGTTGTCCACTTTTGTATGACATCAGAGCAGGTCGGGATGAACACAAAACAGAATGGACACAAAACTAACCATCATGCATTGTGTGGTGATCACCGGTGATCGAATCTGTGCAAGCCTGGCTCATCTTAAATGAGCCTATTCCCTCCGTCACATAAATATTTTATACTAACTCAGTCCTTTCACAAACACTAGTCATTTCTTACTGGCCATCAACAGTATTCTCAACAAATATTTACCCTTGATTCTCCATTCAAGTTCTCCAGTCTAATCAGGTACATCAGCTCAAGGCTAAAAATTATTTTGGTTAAAAACATGCCATTAATTTCAGTCCAAAATAAAGCCATAGAGGGACAGCTCCAAAAAATGACAATGATTAACATCTGCGTTTCCATGAGATCCCACAGTCAGTTTGATTTGAATAAAATTTCTTCTGGGCAGGAGTACAGAAATAACAAAGGACATTCTTCAAGCTAAATTATATCCAGCTTGGAGAGCTTGTTGTTTTCCAGTGTGGTCTAAATATATCTTCACATTTCTGTTGTGTGATTGTCAAATTACTGTACTCTCTGTTTCCCACCTTATTTTGACTTAAACACAGTTTCTTTATTAAGTTACTGGAGGCTCCAGTGTGGTTTTGAAATAACCTTTTTATAAGGTTTGTCCTTGAGGAGCATATTTTTGATGTTATGTGTCATCGTTAAAACCTCTTTGGTTCCTGTCTTAAAAGGCATTACATTTATTTCAGTCCTTAATTGGTATTAAAAACTAGACTTAATACCAAGCAACAGCCAGAAGAAGATTGTGGATGCAGCCTTTGTCAGTTACGCCCCAAAGCTATGGAACACCCTACCTATAGATATCAGGGAAGCTAGCTCACTAGATATCTTTATAAGAAAGCTAAAAACGTATCTGTTCACTTTAGACTTTAGCTAGCTGTGACTTCCTGATACAGGTCTGAAACTCTTTCTACACTTTTACTTTCTTTTTGCGCTTCACGCTGCTGCAACTCTTTTAAAATCTTACTTGTGTTTAAGATTTATAGTTTTACAAGTTCATGATTTTATGAATCAGTTAATCCATGCTTATACTGTTTTAAATGTCCTTTTATATTGAATCGCCTTATTTGTCTGTTTTATGTCCATTATGTCTATTTTTATGTGAAGCACTCAGCACTTATACTGCCCTTATTGTAAAGCACTTTGTGCTGCACTTCTTGTATAAAAGGTGCTGTATAGATAAAGTTTATCATTATTATTATTATTATTAATATTATTATTATTTAGCTAGCTAGCTGTTACTGTACCCTGGATGACATTGGGAAGTGCAACTTCAGCAAAACCATTTAACCAAATTTTTACTGCATTTTTGCCGCAAGGCAATGCATTTGAGGCAGGGTGTGTTTTATGCAAAAAGTTTTTAAAACTCGACATGATGGGAATCAAGGCAGTGAAAACCCACATGCAGAGTGAGAATCACAAAATCATCAAGTCATGTTTTATGTCCCAAGAAGCGTGTGCAAAATTGTCCCTAATTCAGAGTAATGGATGTCGGTTTATGTTTTTCTTTGTGTTTACTTTTTCAGTTTTGGTTATTGTAAAATACTTTTTAAATTTCATTCCAAGTGGCATAAAATAGTCTTAAAAAGTCTTTGGTCTAACTTGCCTTCAGCTGCAAGAACCCTGTTAAAACATTATTGTGCAGCCGCCCACCGACACTTAAATGGCACTATTTGATTGACACAGGTCGGAGAGCTTTAATGTTGCAGCGGTTAAAGGTGGGGCTAATTTACATCCTGCTGGGTAGCTTAACTGTCATCTTTAATTACTTGGTTATACTTTGTTCTACAAATCTGACTCTGTGAAGTAAATAAAGCTTTCAGATAAATGTTTTGAGTACAAAGTGCAATATTTGCCTCCAAAATGTGGTGGAACCTAAATATAAAGTAGCATGAAATGGAAATAAAATTGTACTTGAGTTAATGTATTTAGTTACTTTCCACCACTGTTGATTTTTCCCCTGATTGAAATGAATATTAAAGTTAGAAGATAAAGTAGCAACTATTTTGACGATCCATTAATTGTTTGAGTCATTTTTCAAACCAAAATAATTATATCCATTCCCTTGTTTCAGCCTCTCTCATTGTTTTTGTTTCTTCTGGGTTTTGTGCTGCCACACTAAAACTAAAACTAAAGCTCAGTCAAACTGATGAACTCTTAAATACTAGCCCTAGACATCATCACTCAGGTGCCTGTCAGAGATGAATCAGACCCCATGCCGCTTCCTTAAACATACCGGCAATCTTAAATAGTTGGTGGCATGGTCAAACACATCTTGAAATTGAAAAGCATCAGCCAGAGTCATCTCCAAGGTCTGCCATTCCTGTTTTGACTAGCATCAGGAAAAACAATGTGTACTCAAAGCGCACAGCTACTCT